GCCGAGTTCCCACAGACTAGGCTGCTGTCTCAGAATCACAACTTGTCAGAGCGAGTGATCAGTACACTTTTCGCTAATTTGCTCTATTTTTCGCTAACGATTGACAATATTATTATTCAAATACAGGTTTTCGCGTTGCACGGTGAGCACAGCATTCATTGTGTGCTCACTAATAACTGCAGTGTAGAGCTATAAACACTTACGATGCTACTGGTGAATTTCCCGGGCCGTGTGTCGGTAATAGCTGCTAAAGGCCTTCCTCACACAGCAGTCAACTCGATGGCATAAACAAATGAAAAGTTTACCATTTAAGATAAAATGTACTATAGTCCTTATTTTACCTAGTTGGTATATGATCAACGAAGTCTAAAAAGCAGCGCGTGACACAGGACAGTGACAGAGACATCTCTGTAACTGTCCTGTGTTACGCGCTGCTTTTTTTTCGACTTCGTCGTTTAAGATAAAACTATGCTGTATGCAACCTATAGAATAGCTTAGACCCCTTAGCCAGTATTGCAGACTATTTTCTCTAGAAACATGTCACTATTTCAAGCTGAACGCAAACCAAACGCAGTCATCTCTAACCCACTGAGAGAGTCCATTGAATTCACAACAGCAGATATATGTACATTGACGCGCGCTGCTGAATAGTGCTTCAGTGAAACAAAATGAAAGTACTTAGAACGGAAAACAGAAGCGTATGAGGAGGCTTATTGGAAAACGTTCTCGTCAGTGTTCCCAGCGAAGAAGGACTGCAAGGTGTGTAAACAAGAGTTCATGAAAGACGCAAAAGCTATACGCGAGAGCGAGTGACGCTGCTTTGATTTTTAGGCATTATATAGATAAGAAAACAGACCAGCACTTACAACGGATATTCTGTTCAATTTTCGCTCATTACTATCCATAATTGTAATTAACAGTATGCTTCTAGAGTAATCAAAATAGCATCACCCCATAGGTAATGTTATTACAAATAAATGATACCAAGTTTGTAATTCTCAATCAACAGTAACATATAAGAAAAACCCCTAAGGTTTAGTGTGGTGCACAAGAACATCGAACTGAGAAAAACGCATTTAAAGTTTCTAATAACTGTAACTTTTGCTAAAGTGAAGCTAGAGCAATAAAATGGCACCGTTGTATAGCTCTACATTATGTGAGTATGGCTGTACCAAATGTGTCAATGCACCTTCCCAAAATATTTGCCATAGCTCATTTAAAAACTGTGTACTGGCCGTTGAATCAGTATAAGGAACCCAGTCTACAACTTTGTGGCTGTTCTAGTGCACTGAAAACCAAAGGAAGACACATGTTATATATAAAAACATCGCCCTTTTATACATAAACACTATTTCAAGTAAAACACACATTTTTGTCCCAGACATCCTTCATCAATGCGCTGCCTCGGCCATCTCCGGCGTTCTCGGCGGCGCGCGGGCCGCTCCCTTCTGCCGCGCATTCCACGCTCGCTTTCGTTTCCTGCCGAAAGCTTGACGAGTGTTCTTCTTCAGGCGAGCTTCCCAAGCCATGCCGGCGAAATGCAGAAAGACGTATACGACGGCGACGTCGGTACACGAGCGGGTAGCAGACGAGATAACACGCACGAGAGCAGGCGCCGACGGAGCAAAACCAAACAAACAAAAAAAAGAGCGATCAACCTTGGCCGCGCCGCCGCGCCACCCAATGGTAAGCGCGAGACAGGGGGCTCGCCGGCGCGCGCGCGCTCTAGCCAATCAGCGGTTCGGCAGACGGCTTCGCAACACGGGGGAGGGCAGTCGTTGTGTTGGAGCTACGCCATTTTGAGAGCCCGCAAAACGCGCACAAAGGAACCAGCTTCAAAACAAGCCCAAGATGGCGCCGATCCGCCGGCTGCTTCGCTGGCGGCGCGCGCGGGAAGTTCGAACAAATTTTCTGTTTTGCGGGTTGTTTTGCGACTCCCGTGATGGTTTGAAAATAGATTTTAACCTATTTTTTTATCGAATTCAGCGTTAATAATTTGAGGAGAGGTGCTTATAGGTTCAAAGATTTGAAAAATGCGTTTTTCTCAAAATCGATTTTTTGGCCATTTTTTACTTTTCTAAGACTTGCGTCCCCCCTTAAGCTCTATTACTTAAAGCACATGAAGAGCGTGACCCTAGAATGAAGCAGTGGTTGGAGGTGTCGCTGAGCGATAGTGACCTTTCTGTGCATGCAGTGTCAAATTAATGCGACAAACGAACTACTGTATTTACTCACGTAATTTTCACACTCTTATAATTCTCACATTCCCGCATTGCCCAAGAAAAATGTTTTTTTTTTTTTTCATGAGTAATAATCGCACTCCCAAAAATTGCTCCAATAATGTTGTCTGCTTCCAAGAACTGATGATAGCGTGCGACAGCCTAGCACCATTTCTTAATTAAGCATCATGCTTACGGCCATTGAACAGAGCTCTAATCTAATCCAAACGAAGCCACAAAAACCAAGTACACGTTTTGGCCTGTAATGACAGCGTGTGACGTCCTTCTGCGACTACGCTATGGATTGGTACGGAGGCTATGCGGCGGCCTTCAAGTTGAAGGTGATCGACTATGCACTAGAAAATGGCAACAGGGCCGCCGGCAGGCACTTCAGAGTTGATGAATTTTGTGTCCTGTTCTGGCGACGGCAGCTCGGACAGCTGAAGCCCACCAACAAGACACATGGGGCTTTCCGTGGGCCTAACACTGGACAATATCCGCAGGTAGAGGCGGCACTTCTCCTACATCAAGGGTCACCGTGTGGACGGGTGTGCCGCATCCATCGAGTTAAAAACTAGGTGTGCATAATTTCCAGGAAGGGGGGCGTTCGGCGCAAAATTTCCGCGCAAGAAATGGATGGGCCGCACACTTTATGTGACGAAGTGAACTGTCACTTAGAAGACGGACGACTTTGTGTCAGCAGCTACCTCGGCATATGAAAATAAGATTGTCGTTTTTTCAGCCATTTGTAATCTGGATTCGGCAGGAAAATAACTTTTGCTCTCGCAAATTCCCAAATGCGCGGATTTTTTTTTTCGCATTTACATTTACCCACACAAAAAAGTGTACTAAGTGCGCACTTTTGAACAAGGTGCAGAAAAGCAGAGAAAGTGCACAGTCATGCTCGCCGTTTCAGCGGAAGGATGAAAGCAGCCATCTGTAGGGCATGTACGCCTGTTTTCACGTGTTCTGTTTCGTCACAGTGCTTGCGTCAAAGACCTAGACCGCACAAAGGTCACTTTGCTTGATGGTGCAGCGGTGTAAAAGAAAACTACCGATCGGCGAAGAAACCAGACCGAACATCGTTTCTTGTTTTCAACTTCTTCTTCTTCTCTCTGCAGTACTAGCCTGCACACGTTTATTCCTTTTCTTTTCCAAGATACTCCCGTCCCCCCAGTAGCGTCGCTCAATTCCAGTCTGTACAATGTCTGCACTGGTTTTCTGAAAAACTTCCCGTCTTGAGCTTTCACTCAACAAGGATAGACTGTTTGGAGAGAGTGTGTGCAAGCTGCAGTTGTTCGACGCGCTTCGCGAATACTTCCAGCTGAACATATCGGACCCAAACATTTCAGACTTGTTTAGCTCCCATGCCAAATTGTTTCGCTGAGCAAAGTTTGAAGTCCACCACATCGATTCACAAAGCTAAAGACCCAGGCGGTGATGCGCAGGAGCTTCTGCAGGTCTTTATGCTGCCTTATATCGATCACCGGTGTAAGTTTCTGGACGACACTTGAAGAAATACATGTCGCGTCTCAATCTCTGTCTCTTTGTTTATCGTTTGTACTGGTTAGGTTCTGGAGGCCAGCCTGATTTTTGCTGGGACAACCATTCAGGTCCATACCACCAATAGCGACATGCACGTAGAGTCCTTATCGGTATGTATACCCCTAGTCAGTACGTCCCCCGGGTTGTCTTCGCCAGGGCAGTAGCGCCATAACGCTGTTTCTGTAACTTGCGTTATTTCAGTGACTCTGTGCTTTACAAATTGACTCCACTTGCTATAGTTTCCGCGTATCCAGCTCAGTGTGATCATGGAGTCAGTCCACATGACGCAATAGAAATGCTTGAAATCCCACGAGGAGCAAATGTATTTTAGCAATCTGGCTCCCACTACCGGGGCCATAAGCTGGAGCTTTGGAAGCGTTAATGTCTTAATAGGTGCCACTCTTGACTTCGCTACTATGAGAGAGGTAGCGGAGTTTCCACCTTCATCAATGCTCTCAAATAGGCACATGCTTCATAAGCCTTCAGGCTGGCGTCGACAAATATATGCAGTTCAGCCTCTTTAAGGGGGGGCGCGGCAAGTAAAGTGCCGATTTTGGTCAAAATATGCGATTTTCTGATTTATTTTTTTTCGTAATCTTCAGACCTTCAACTTCCTTGTTCTAAAATATTACAGCGAAACGTGCGCTACAAATCCCGCAAATAGTGGTTTTGCCGAGGCTAGTCGTCGAAAAGTGCGAAAAAAAAGCCCCTGAAACGGTGTTGTTCACGCCGCACAAACGCGCCAAGTTGTTGACTGTGGGCCGCCATTTTGGTAGCTTTGGAAAGAGGAGAAAGCCGGCTTCCCGATGGTCGCGGTCTCGTATTTCGCCGAGTGAAAATAAAGCGCGAGGAGCAAGTAAAAAAACGAAAACGAAGAACGGCAATTGGCTGCGCGGGTCACGTGGTAGCAGGCGCGACCTCTTACTGGTCAAAGCTGCGCCGCGCACCTTGGCAACCTTGGAAGCGCGAGCGCATCTGCGGCCGCCGTGTCGAGAATCATCCGGCGTGCGCTTCGTTTTTTGCCAGTTTGCTGTTTTTGTGATAGTTCGCGTGCTTTTTTTACCAAGCTTTGTTTACATCGGTGGTCTCTTCTGAGTGCTTGCTCATACTGCGGTGCTATGTTGCCGCAAAAAAGTTCCGGAGCGTCCACAAGTACGGCAAGCGTCGGAAAGCTTGGAACAAAGGGCAGACGACTGCGGCTGCCGTCCCAGTCGCAGTTCCGGACGGAGCATGCTCTTCAAGCGTCACGGAGCCTCTACTCAGACCCTTCGCTGATTGTTGTGAGGCCGAGAGTGTGGAAGGTGCCACATCGTCGTATGTCAGACCGCCGGATGCCGTCGACCGTGATGGACGCTCTCGCGAACCCGATTGCGGTGGCACCGCGTCGGCAGCCGTTGCAACTCCGGGCGTGCGCGCGTCGAACATTCTATCGCGAGTTTCGGCCCAGATTCCGAGCAGTGAAGAAATCGCGCAGCGGGCGCAGACAGGCGGGATGTTTTGGATGCCGTAGCATCGAAGTCCGCTTCAAAGCGGAAGCTCGAGCTTCTGAACGAAGGCTGCGACGAAAATGACGGCGGTAAGGACTCCACATTCTTCATTGTAAATAAGAAGATGCTGAACGGTCTGCTTTCGTCAGTAAAGTGCAACAAGTGCGACGAAGGGTCGATACGCCTCGAGACTACGCACTGCCTTGGACTCGCGGCGAGGATGGAACTTTTTTGTGGCAATTGTGGCTTAGTGAACAGTGCGTGGTCGTCCCCGAGGTGCTCCGGGCAACAAAAAACGAACCCCTTTGAGGTAAACGTGCGTGCTTTGAGGGCTGTGCAGTCAGTTGGCAGAAAACAATCTGCCATTAATGACATTTTTTCTGCGATGGACATTTCGCATCGAGCACTGCACCACAAGTCCTACCAGAGACTGCAAAGGAAGTACAGCCACCCTGCCACCACATCAGCTGCCACCCGCATTGAAGCAGAAAGTGCACAGAAGGTGCATGACATTTACAAGGACCTAGGAGGAGTGCCAGGCAACATTGACGTCATTTACGACGGCACGTGGATGACGAGGGGGCACAGAAGTCATATTGGCGTGGGCTGTGTTATCGAGCTGTACACAGGCTTGGTCTTGGACCACTGTGTCCTGTCCAACTACTGCCAAGGCTGTGCTGTTGGCCCCAAGCCTGGTGACGACAACTATGAGGAGTGGCTTGAGAAACACAAGCCACAGTGCCAAAAGAACACCGATGCTAATGCAGGCCAAATGGAAGTAGAAGCAGCTAGGATCATGTTTGAAAGATCGTTTACCAAGTACAAGCTTCGATACATCAATGTGCTCTGCGACGGTGACAGCCGTACGTACCTTGCCCTCACGCAAGACAAGGTGTATGGCTACATGGTGATTAAGAAACAGGAGTGTGTGAACCATGTGAAAAAAGAATGGGCACTTCCTTGCGCAACCTTCTTGATGAGCACAAATCCAAAGGCCGAGGACTGAGCATGGGTGGCAAAGGCCGGCTGACGCAGGGCCTGATAAAGAAGTTGACGAATTATTATGGCTGGGCCATTAAGAGCCACCCCAACGATGTTCCTGGCATGGAGAGGGCCATCATGGCCACTTATTACCATGTAACATCCACAGATCAGGATCCACACCACGACCTGTGCCCAAGTGGGACTGACTCCTGGTGCCCGCACAATCAGGCATTGGCCAAGGGAGAGCCGCTGCCGCCTCACAAACATAAACTGCCCCCTCACGTGCGAGTGGCACTGCTGCCAATCTACAAGCGCCTCTCGAACAAGAGCTCCTTGAAAGGTGTGCGCAGGGAAAAACCCAGAACGCTGTGGAGAGTATGACAGCCTCATTTGGTCACTCCAGTCCAAGAGCCAGTTCGCCTCCCTTCGAAGTGTGGAAAGTGCAGTTGCAGATGCAGTCTGCCGTTTCAATGGTGGCTGCAAGAGTGCGCTGCAAGAGATCACTGCTCAACTGGGCTTCAATCCAGGAGACTGCTCTTTGCGGCGAGCAGCCGAAAAGGATGCCAAAAGGGTAAAGAGGGCTCAAAAGGCGCATTGTTCCACGACAAAGAAGCGCAAAACTGGGTTGCGCTCTACAGAGGCCAAGGCCACAGCATCTCAGGATTACTGCCCAGGAGGATTCTGAGTGTTTTAGGCATGTTGTGAACTTCCAAACAAGAGTGAACTTTCAAAGTCAGTTTTCTCAACTCTTGATTTTCGCCTATGTGCCTTCGCTAGAACATCTGTCATTTTCTAACAAAGACTGATAGAGTCGTTCCGTTTTTTGCACTAGGCTCAGGAGGCCTTTAGCAGTGCAATAAAGCTTTATCTCTCTTCTTACTCGTCATTTAAAATTTTTAGAACACATTTATAATTACTGCGATGTGTGCGCAAAATAACATCCATGTTTTGGAAATTTTATTTATGGTTACAAGAACTAGAAAAATCAACTAATAGCTTCTTTGCACAAGTTGATGCTTTGGGAACATATAATATGAAAAAATAATTTCATTTAGCAATAATTATCTCTTTAAGTGTAAGAGCATTAATTAGTATAATTATGCTTGTAACTCAAAAAGTACAAGAGGTATTTGAAAACGGTTTTCATATTTGGAATCCTCACAATCATCCACATACACACACCAAATTTCATCACAAACAGTACATTAATAAAGAAATTAGTTTTACTTGCCACGTCCCCGCTTAAGTGCTCCATGCAGTCCGTCTCTCACGCAACGCGGAATCTTTATGTGGCCGAGCTGTATTACATCGGCACACCAGGCTGCCCACTGTGTCTTGATCTCCGCGGGCAATTCTTTGTCCCAGGAATGACCTAAAACCAAAGGCGTTGAAACAAAAGCTTCGCAGTGATGGTGAATGGCGATAGAATGCCAAGCGGGTCATAAATTCGAGAAGCAACCATCAGTAGGGTATGTTTCGTGTCGAGCTCGCCAGCCACTAAATACTGGACCACCGACTTGGAAGAAAATTTGAAGTAATCATTTCCTATATCCCCTTGCATTCCCAAGATTGCAGCTGCTTCTCCGGATGCTCCTTCTACTTGCTCCTCCTGGTTGTCAAAAATGTTCTGCAGCTGATGGTCATAGGTCTTCCACTTTCTGAGCCTCATGCCAGCATCTTTCATAATTGCTTTCGACTGCTCGTAGATGCGCCGACCTTCATGGAATGTCTCCGCACCCACCAATGAGCAAGAAAGGGCTTGACGTTGATCCAAACGGTCCCGTGTCATACGCCATTCGACGAGCTTACGGTGGAGGTTACGGAAATAGAATCAAACCAGAAACACCGGAATGTATCTCGATCAGTCTCCTGTATCTTAAGTTGTAAAAATGCCTTTTCAATGTCGGAATAGATGGCGCGACAAGGGGACACCGAAAGGGAAGAAGGACTTGCAGCCATTATTGATTGAGCGGTTCACTCTTTATCCAGCAGCCGTTAAGGGATGGTACACCTCGGTTGTGTGACGATGTGTCGAACACTACACGCAAATCTGTAGTTGACGATTCTTCTCTTGTTACTTTCGATATAGCATTATTATTATGGTGTGATCTCAATCCGAGGAGTATGCTTAGGCACCACTTCCGCAGACTTAACTCCATATATTGCCGGATTACTGTGTTATATGGCGGCAACATTTCTTCAACGTTGATAGCCGTTCAGTAACATTGTAAACGCGATAGCGCGATTTCCCGGTTGTTCCCTAGAAGCGGTTTCTTATCTTCTTTCTAAGGCAACGCCACAGTGTATATGTTGCTTTTCTTACCAATGGTTTCATGGAATCGTTCAACGGACTCTTGAGAGGAAGGTTCTGTTGAATCTTCCATGCCCATTGCTTCTAGTTGCCAAATAGATTGCACAATCTGCGAGGTTGATTCGTCATTACCAATTGCTTGCACTTTCAGAATGGAGACCTATAGGCTAGAGCTGCAGTCAAGAAAGGCTTTTTTGACTGGGTCCTTGTATCGTCCATCCAAAAGCGTATCGATTGTACCAGTCCTGGAACTTCTGCACTTTTGAAAATATGTCCGGCATGATGTCACAGAGGTGGTCAGCACCGATGAAAGAGCTGAGGCTATTTTACGTTTCCGCATCAAACTTTTTTTCGTCCGCAATAACTGATTGTCTGCAAACAAGGAAATGGCTGACAACTTTCGGGGAAGCAATATCGTGACACATAACTATAACAACGATTGCGTGCAACGCGCGGGTGTCAGAACCGTGTTGGCTATGCAGATCAACTTCTACCACTTGCCTTTTTCCACAGTAGGGTGATGAGCAGCCAAACGTATTGAGCGCAAATTGTGATTCTCGCAGCACCTGTATTGTAATGGCTTGGCGATCTCAGTGACGAAAGATCGCTGGCCCCTCCGTTGAGACCTCTCGAACATACCGTGTTTTGCCGTTTTTGATGACAAAGGCGCGAAACGTTTGTAGATATACTCACTGTGATTTGTGCGCCCCAACTCAAAGAATCCCTCTCACACAGCAAACTGATTGTGACGACACCTTCCGACTCTGCTGCGGAGGCGTCAACTGGATAAGAAGGTGTCATTGGCAGGTTCGATGTGTAGTGCGGGTCCCACATACTTGATGCGTGCATCCCGCTAATGACGTAGATAGAAGAACTTCGTCGTTGTTGACAAAGCGTTGTTCAGGTGGACAGTTTGCTCAAACTGCTCCCAGAAAGCCGACCATTCATGTATATCATCTCTGAATGTTGGCATGCTAAGGTTCGGCAGCCTTGGGTCAATTGCGGTCGGCACGTCAGAAGGTGATGGGTTTGCGTTCTGAGGAGCAGCCGCTGCTGTACTGTCTCCATGTCGCAAACCATCTATCTTGCAGCGAATCTCAGCGAGCATGCTTATAGCTTTGTCGTTATACTCTGCTGCCGCGACATACTCAGCTTTGAGCTCCTTGTCCGTTATGTGCTCCTCGAGCGCATGATTGATCTTCGAGAGCTCGTTGTTGTTCGCTGACAAACGGTCATAAATACCTGTGAGTTTAAGCTTGTCCGCGGTAGGGTAACTTAGCAGTGACATTGCTTCTTGCAGGATCTTGGTGTTCTGGGCTCGTCGAGCAGAGCGCTTGGTCTTGAGGCGATCCATCGGATCCGGTGTTGGAGTCTAGTCCGGTCTAAGCCGATCAGAAACGATTCGTTGCAGTCCTCGCCGCCTGCAAAACGACGCGGCCGAGTAGAAGGTCCCCTCGAGTCGTGCAATGAAGGAGACGTGTCCGCGCGAGGTGTTTCGGCACCACGATGTAAAGGAAAACTACCGATCGGCGAAGAAACCAGACCAACGCTGGTTCTTGCTTTTAACTTCTTCTTCTTCTCTCTGCAGTACTAGCCTGCACACGTTTATTCCTTTTCTTTTCCAACAGCGGTGTTTTCTAAAAGTGTGAGCCTTTTCTTGTGCGACATTCCTATTTGTCGCTTTCAAATTCATTCCTTCACCTTTACAGCAAAACTGAGACTTTTTAAAATCAAGTTTTTACGTATTAAAAATACAGTCGAACCTCGCTACAAGGAACGCCGCTTCAACGAAATTTCCGCTACATTTAAAAATTCACAGTTCTCCGTCAGCAGTCCATAGGAGTCAATGCCTAATTGTTGCCACAACGAACACATTTTTTTCTACTGTCCCGCTTCAACAAAATTTCACGATGGAATTCCAGGCTCAGATATTTATTGTTCTACAGTAAACCCAATCTAACATTTTGATGCATTTTCAGAACGTGAAAATATGTCGACAAAGTCTAAAATACGCATTGGCACCACCAGAAACCTCCGCTGTTCAGCAAGCATGGGTGCCACCATTGCTCGATAGCGATGGCAATGAGGCTGCCCTGCTTTTGCCACCGGCTTGCTTTTGGGCCGCAGATGTTCCAAAGCTGAAGCTCAGTCGCTCAGTTCATGGTTTCCTTCACGCAGCTGCCCCAGCTACTCGGTGCAACCGCGGAAGGATGCCTTTTTTTATTCTAATGCTTGCTTATCATTTTATTCGCACTCAACGAAATCCACAAAATCACACAAAATCAGCTAGTCGCGAGTGATGGATGATAGGAATGGCATAGAATAAGGCAAAAGTCACCGCTCCAAGATACCCTGCCTCCATCTCGGCGTTGTCGGATACGCTTTGACGGTGGACAGCTGCTGGTGTTAACGTGTTAATGCAACTGCTTGGTATGTTCATGAAAGCGGTTGTAGGCATTGTTCAGCGTGCTTTTCACCATGGCTCGCTATTCATGACTAAGCGAAAACTTTTTAATTTTGAGAATAAATGTTTCTTTGTTTTGCTAGCTCATATTAGGTATATTTTCTATTTCACTACAATGAAATTTTCACTTCAGTAAAATATTTTTCGTGCCCCATGAGTTTCGTTGTAGCAGGGTTCAACTGGTACACTACAGTGGGAGAACACTGCAATTCCCTCTCGTCACAATACAGGCTCCAAGCTACAGCCAGACTTCTTCATTCCGGATGACGTCCTCGCCGAGTTTGACCAGCAGCAGGTGTCGTCGCTGGGCATTGGCGGTACCAGCGCAGCAGCCTCACCACCGTCTTCCACATCTAATAGTCCTGCTGCCAGTGACGGAGTCGATGGAATCGTGCAGAAGATCAACCAGAAGTTGAGCCCCGAGCTGGTTGCCTCTACTAAAGGGCTGTTTTTGTTCCAAGTTAAAGGTAGTATGCAGCTTTTCCTCTGAGAAGGCTGTGTAAAATTAGTGTTATAACAGAAGGGCTTTTTTGACAGGGTTATAGAAATTTTGCATTGTTCAAGTCGAAGTCGTGGCTACATAAATGGCACAACCATTCTAATAGCGCGCTTTTTATTACTTATTCTGTTGTTCACATCACCACAGCCGGTATGCCGCGTAAATTATGGTAGGGTAGGATGGCTTCTTGATGCCTGGTATTCACTATATATATATTTGTACAGGGCTGGCAAGAAATATTTTCAGTTGCTTTTGCATGACTTATGCTATTGCTCATTCTATGAATGTTCGACTAGCAACTTCTTTATCCCACCACCACATCTGACATTACGCTGGCGATAAAAAGCTCTTTAGCAAGTTTGATATTGAAACTGGCTATTTGCGATGTGCAAGCCAGGTAGTGCAGATTGTATCTCCAAGGTATTTGACTGTATGTGCACGGCTGTAGAAAGTGAACCGATTTAAGTGGACAAGCAACTATAGCAGTGTTTCATGAAAGGCGTGCAGGGCGAGATTCCGATAATGCGACACTTTTGTGAGCATGCCGACGAGAGCATTGAAGAATGCTTGTATCAAAACAACAGACCAGAACAGATGTGTCTTCACAAGCAATCGAAACATACGATCCTAGTGCTAGTGCTTTTTAAAATTTTTTTACTTGGGTGTTTTTTATTTCAGTGCTCCCTGGACTTAACAGATAATGATAGATGAGTTGTGACTGTAGTTTGAAAAAGAGGGCACATTTTGCTTCGCTCTGTGGGTTCCTCATGATCCACTGCAGCAGGGATCAAATGGCAGAGCATCCACCTTCAGTGTGGGAGGTACTGGATTTGATTCCTCTTGTCACCGCACCCTCCAGTCTTTCGGAAGTTGTGAGAGGTAACAGACTAGCCACATGACAGCCTATGGGTATCTTAGAAAAAGGTGGCCTTTTCTTTTTGCCTTTTTTTTTTTTCATTCACTCAGTTTTCTTTGCTCACAATGTTGCCGCTTTCCTCATCGTGGGTTGCAGGAATCGGCAACCTTCCTAACCTCAACTGTCTAAACATGTTGCAAGCTATTACAGTAAAAGCTCGTTTATCTAGACCTCGTTAACTTGGAAATTCGTTTAACTCGGACTCGCGGTGCGGTCCCGGCAAAACTGTGTACATTTCAATGAGGTCAAATACTCATTAGTTCGGAGGGATTTAGCCGCGCACCGGTTATCTCGGACAACTCCTGAGAGGGCTATCGGGACTCCAGAGTCGCGCGATCTCGGTGACTTGGAGGCTCAAGCACCGCTTGCCGTAACCTACGGCAGAACCGGAGTTTTGGAGAACCGAAACCGAGCGAACTGCAGCAGAATACGACCATAATGATAGTGAATGAGGGGGAAGTGGCTAGGTGGCACTAGTCACCACCCGGCGGAAGGGCTTGGGTCACCTGCGCATCCAGTGTCTACTAACATCTGCTTGCTACGCACATGCTACGCCTACTGGTGTACTTCGTGTCTTGGTTCTTTGTGTTGTGACTCCGCGTGTTACAGCTGTGTTTGTGCGCGTTGCCGCTGCCGTTGCGCTTCATGGCGGCCGTCACCGGAGTTCAGCGGCCACAGCAGCCAGCAAATGATCTTGAAAGAAAGGTTATGATATTGAAAGACGTGGACGCAGGTGTTTCTTGACAGGCGATAATGAAAAAGTACGATGTTAAGAGAAGCACCTTAAGCGACTACATGAAGAACAACGAAAAAATTTGAGGCGTTTGACAGCGGCAAATTCACCGGAAAACGAAAACGACTGAGTGCGGCAGCACACCCGAAGCGGAGACGCACTGCTGTGGATAACAGACATGCGGAACAACCAGCTTCCCTTGAGTGGACCGTTGATCTGTCAGCAAGCTGAAAGGTACACACTGAGAATGAACATCGAATCTTTCAGTGCGTCTGAAGGCTGGTTTGCCCGCTTTAGAGAAAGGCAGGGGTTGGTCTTTCGAAACGTGTGCGGAGAAAAAGCAGCAGTGGAAGAATGGCGTATTGCTGACTGGAAGACAACTGAGCTTCCCCAGTACCTGGCTCGTTATGAGCCTGCCAACGTCTGCAATGCCGATGAAACGGCTCTCTTTTTTAAGCCTTGCCGGACAAAACGATCACGTTCAAGGGCGACCCGTGCGTGGAGGGAAGAGGAGCAAAAAAGGTTCACTGTGCTTGTCGCTTCAAATATGTTGGGCACCGAGCGCCTGCCACTGCTAGTCATCGGGAAGGCACGTAACCCAAGGTGTTTTAAAAACATTCACCACTTTCCTGTGCAATATCCCGCCAACAAAAAGGCCTGGATGACTTCGGATATTTTCCAAGCTTGGCTGCACCAACTCGACCGCCGCTTCTCCGCTAACAAGCATAAGGTTTTACTTCTAGTTGACAACTGCAGTGCTCATACCAGAGTGTCAGGGCTAGAGTGCATCGAACTTGTATTTCTACCTGCAAACAAGACGGCTGCTCCGCAACCGCTGGATGAAGGGATAATTCAGTACGTAAAAAGCAGGTACAGAAAGCAGGTGCTGGAACGGATCCTGCTGTGCAAGGAAGCAGGGCGAGAATGCGACGTGACTCTCCTGACAGCAATTCACATTTTGGCTCATGTCTGGAGTGAAACGCCGCCCGCCGTCATTGCAAATTCTTTCCGGCACAGCGGCTTTGTCCGCCCTGATGACTCGAATATTCCTCCAGAGAACACCCGCGAGCCCACTGAAAATATGGACGACGAGGTGAATGACACGCGTTTTAACTCTCTCCTTCCTAGTGGCGTCCAGATTTTAGACTACGTCGCTACAGACTATCATGTTGCCGCTGCTGGTCCGCTGACTGACGATGATATATTATCGGAAGTGCTTGAGGAGGACCAAAATCACTGTTCTGATGATGACGGCCTGGATGAGTCGACGCGACGTCAATGCACCATGCAGGAGGCCGCTGAAGCCCTCGCTGTGGTCGAGGAGTTCTGCGTTTGTTCTCGCGACAGTGAACGACCACCTGATGGGATTAAAAAGGATCATTTTGTCAGAAATTCCAACGGGGAAGCAAGCAAAAATAACGCACTTTTTTAAAAATAAAGGTTTGTCTGTGCTGTGTACGTTTTACTTTTGTTTCATGGTCCATTCGTAATTCCGAATCGGTTAACTCGGACATTTCCTCCGGTCCCGTGAGATCCGAGTTAACGACTTTTTACTGTATATGCATCTCGGGTTGTGATGAGGGATCGTAGTTAGTGCTCTACAAGTTTACAATGGTGGCTGATTGGGTGACATTGTAAGGTCCAACCTTGTCTTCTTTGCAGTGGCATTCTCCTCTTATCTTTCTGTTAACCTCTTCTTGTGCCTTTTCACTCAGTTTGTTTAATGAACGTGTCATCAACATGATGCTTTACAAGGGCCGCTTCTCAAACGTTTTGACCGGCTGATGAAACTGTCTTCTCTCATCTCCACAGGTGGTGATGACTTCTTCGTAGACCTCCGAACGGAAGGGGGTAGCGTTGGCAAAGGCCAGCCGTCGGAAGGCAACTCGCCTGACGTCGTATTTACCATGGACGCCGACAGCCTGCTCAAGATGTTTGCAGGCAGTCTGAAGCCAACGGCAGCCTTTATGAGCGGCAAGATGAAGATCAAGGGCGACATGGGGAAGGCCATGAAACTCGAAAAGCTTATGGGCAGCTTCCGAGCCAAACTCTAGAAACCAACCGAGCCTTATGCTTTTTGTTTGGCAACTACTTCGGCATGTTTCACCGACTCCGGTCTGTGCAGCCAAGCAGAAGGAAGATCACAAAGGCTAGACACCAACAGCGCCACCCGCTTCATGAACGTCGCTGGTCAACCGGATTTTTCAGCTTACCTCGACGCAGAGACTGTGTCAACATTTGCTGGATCAAATGTAGTGCGTGATCTCGCATTTCGTTCAACTCCAGCGCGTTTGGTGCTTCCAGCGACCTCGAGAGGCATCGGCAAGACAACATAATTATGTGCAGTGGCTCGAGTCGTATCTTGAACTTCCTAGTGTGGAAGCTTTTTGATCAATTCATTTTATGATCGGGTCCACCTCATCGGGAACATAGCAATGTGGAAGTTTGTTAGTGTAACAAAGGGTGTGGTGAAGACAGCGTCTTATGAATAAGGTTAATTTGCTTTTTCTCGGTTTCGGTTCTTCAGATGTCTAGAGTGTCACTGATGGTTATATCTTATCGCTTGATGAGATGTGATTTTAATGGAAATGTGGCATTCATTCGCATGATGGAGCAACTGTCTGGAATAGGAACAAGTGTTACTTTATACATTTTGAAATGTTTACCTTGCTCACTAGGATGGACATTATATCTGCACTAATGGCATTGATTGCATTAATTCTTGATGTTAATCAAGAAATATTTTATACTGGAAAATGAATGCTGTCAGTTTTTTAGTTGTGTTGTTGCAACACTCTTCATAGCATCTAGACTATCTTTTTTTTGTTACCAGGGCCTAATATTTTGCTTTATGTAAAATATTATGCGGCTTTTACATATGAAGCTGTATGCTTGTATGCATAGAAAAATGTGAGTAGTTTTGTTTTCAAAGCTGAATCTGTTACTGTATATAACACACTCGTGTGCCTTAAGAGAACTGTTATGCCTTATAGAACCATTCTGCTGTGCAATATGAATAGCTAAAGTATTTCGTATAACCTCTAACTGATGTTGGTTGTTTGCAAGGTGTAATGAACTGGAGTGTCTTACAGTGATAGCATGTGTTGTCAAACTGCTGTGCAGTGGAAAATTAAAGCTTGAAATCTTTTAAGCGGTGGCTACACTGGTGGAGAGATGCCGCAAGCAAATGCTCACATTAATACGCATCTGTGGTGGTACGTACGGCTGCACCGGTCCTAGGCTAGTCCACAACGATGGTGAAACAATACTTGCAGTTAATGTGGAGTCTCCATTTAAAAAAGACTGAAAAACACTTTTCTAAATAGTCCTCAAGTGGCTTCACTAAAAGAGCATGTCGTCTCAAGTATTGGATGGCCTGAAAATTTTTTAGAGTCCATCAAGTACTAATCAAGTTACAGAAACTTGTTGCATTCTTCAAGCGCTCTCCTTCTTTTCTTCGTACTAATGAGCTCTCTGAAAGCTTGCAAGAAATATGTGTCCCTTCATGGCTTACTTTAAGTTTGATCGCGGCCAGGCACGTAGCGCCATCCCGTGGCGGCCACGGTCACTATGCAGCTATCAGTGCTCAATTGAGCCAATGGCTATAAACTTTGAGTTATGTGGCGTCATGTATTCCGAAAGGAGGGAGTGGTTTGCGAATGGGAGAATCAATTTTTCGTTCCAGGCCTTATGCTGCACTGATGTTTGGCTCGCATACTCTCGGAGGCGTTGACTACAAATTGGCAGCATTTTCTGACCATGCTCAGAAAGTGTTGCATGCCCCTTATATTAGCGAAGATTACAGGCAGAGTTTGAAAGGGGGCAGTAGTATCTTTCGTAGGCCAATAGGCTGTGAGATTGCCACGCCGTCTAGCCTTTCTTGGCAAGCAACAACTACGGTTCCGAAAACTGTATTTTTACGCGAAGTAAAATTGTTGCCTCTTCATCGGCCTCTACAATGTGTACCACTAATCATGCTCTGTGCGCATTTACTTACTCGGCACAAAACGAGAAGCAGCAGAATAATATGGAAGTGATGGCCATTTACAATTGAGAATAATAAAGTCCATTAAGTGTGCTTATAATTTAAGTGCACTTTTGGGCTTGGTGCGGGCTAAGTGGATCGGCTCGGTATGGGATGTTTGTGCATCCAAAGGGCTTTTTTTTTTTGTGCGCAAGGTACAGTCTGCTTGGTTCTTGCATTTGTTGCATGCGTGCACGTTCAGGTGAAGATTACCTAATCTTTGCCTCATTAACAATTCTTCTACTGAACTCTGTTCTAAATCACAAGCCAACTGACTCGAGATTGTCTTGAAGTCCTATGCCATGGCATTTGTGCAGCTTCGGGACAGAATATATGTATTTCGATATGGTGTGGTCAATGTTGGTTCTTTGTGCTCGGCATGTCAAGCTGACATTGTGTTGAAACAATGCTCACATGCCCTGAGCGTAAGCGAATGAGCTATCGCTGAATGAAGCAATGAATGGTGAAGCCATTTCATTATTTTTGGTAAAATTTTTGAAGATGCCTGCAAAAGATTGCTTTCTTTGCACTAAACTCAATTTTACTCAAGAGCTAGTGTTATCAGCATGCTTTGCTTTGAACATGGGAATATCCTGCATTACAGCAGACTTTCATTGCATCCACTTTGTTAGATTCTATGTATAATGGACAGATGTGTATGCTCCTTCAACATTGTACACTAGAGAAGGTAGCCTGCACAACAGGTAGTATCATGAGACTCCATCCAATTGTTGGAGGGCGAATTTCGTTAGCATCTAAAAGTGCCTGTGCTGACATCAGCTATGTTCTTGTACATGTGCTGGTGAACCAAGATACTATATGGGTCTTACTACTCAAGCTGACTCCAGGAACAAAAAATTTTCATGAAGCAGAGATTTTGGGCAGCGTAAGGAGTGCAAAGATTTGTTTCTAGTTCTCTTTACCTTTGAGTATGTAAAAGGTACTAACAATCCTTCTGATGTATAGTAATGGTTTAATAAATCTTGGCTGTACAAATGTACCATCTGTTTGCTTCCTCACATGAGCCTTATACAATAAGTAATAGGAAGAGATGAATGATATGCTGGAGAGGTAATTAAAGTTAATTTATTGGAAGAACACTGAGAAAATTTCGAAGGTAATATAGCTTGTGGAATATACTTGTGTGGACACGCACATCATAACGAAACATCAATGGAAAGTGTAGCCTGAAACACATTTGTAATCAGTTTTAAAGGAATACTAGAGGCAAAGATTAAGTCAAGGTTGATTGTTGAAATAGTCCAGAAACCTCGTAGTGCTACTTTTGTGTAAGGAATTGCTTAAATTGAAAAAGACGTTGATCGCGAAGTGGTTGATATCTGCTCCATCAGGTGCCACCACCGTGCCAGTTGACCTCCCGAGAATTCCACAGCTGATCAGATAAGGTGAGGTCGCGCTATCAGAGGATTTCGTATTGTGAATGGGTGGTTGAAAACGCGTTTGACTGAGTTGCAGGTGTCTCCAGTGACTCGTATATTTAAAGTGTTATAATAAATTACACAGTTTACACCAGGGGCGGATCCAGCGACTCATTTTAGAGGGGGGGGGTTGCCTAAAGTAACACAGAGTAGGGGGGCGTGGTCATGACTTTTTTTTGTTTTTACTAGCAGAAAAACCCTTTCGCAGCATAAATACCGCAAATGTGTGCTCGCATCATTTTCACTCATTTGTCCTAATTCGTGATAGGAGATGGACTGCAGCTATAAATTGAGAGAGGGGGGTGCTGACAGAGTTTGGGGGAGGGCGATCACCCCTACCCCCCTCCCCTCTGGACCACCACTGATTTAGAGAGAGCTTAAATCGTTTTTTAAATGATTCCTAAGACTTGGTTTACCGGCACAATGTGTTTGTAACAAAAATAATCACAGCATATCCACGGAGTGAATGATGATGAGCGGGGTAAAGCGTCCGTCCGTGCTTCCGTTCGTTCTTGCTGCTGTTTGTGCATACGTTTGTGTGTTCGTCCATGCATCCGTCCGTCTGTGTGTACATTCGTTTGCCATGCGTTCTTTCGTACGTCTGTCCGTCATGCATCCATCAATCTGTCCGTCCGCTTGTCCGTCCGTGCATTTGTTCATCCGTCCATCTAGTGCACACTCCAAGTACCACCACCTCGCATCTTTTCGTCATCATCATCAACATCAGCCTGACTACGTCCACTGCAGGACAAAGGCCTCTCCCATGTTCCGCCAGTCATCCTAATGCTACATGCATGCCAATTGAGATTCTAGGGGTCTACAAGGAAGACGAGGAAGACGAAGAGTGGTCTCCGAGGAAGATTCTACAAGGAAGACGAAGAGTGGTCTCCGCTTGGTGACAAACAGACAGGTTTGACACGCAGGACTGACGTTTGCCTGCTCTGAGGATTTGGCCAAGAGTTTAGTAGTTGTGATTGATTTTGTATATATATATTTTTTCATAAATGTTTCTATAGTGTCCTAATTGATTAGCAAGTGTATTTTCAGATAGTACGACCAGGCAGATGCCGTTTTCCTCACCTGGACCAGAGGCTTTCTTCTGGTCTGTTTCTCTTCCTTCGCAGGAATTGCCAGTGGACTTGTTTTTACAGCAACGGCATCTCATCCGTTCCTGTGGCATTGGTCCCAAGCAACGATGGTATTATACGGATGAAGAATTCAAAAATGATTCAGATGGAGTTGAGAGCCACTACAACTCTCTACTAAGCATCACAGAGGTCAGGCAGTTCAGCAAGGGTGGCATTCTTTGCTTCTTGTCTGACCAGCTCTGTTTCGAGACCTACTAAAATGCTCGGTATTCGCTACCAACCGGTGAGCGCATTCATTCCACCTCACCCAGCTTGTGTCAAAGGCCTCGTTCGGGGTGTCGATGTCAACTTGACCCCAACTGAGGTATTAGATATGTTTTCAGAAGCAGGTGTGATAGCTATCTATAGATGTAGTCGAGTTGTGGACAAGAACAAGGTCCCAACGGAGCCCGTGATTGCTACATTTGCCGGGTCGAATCGCCCAACTGAAATCAAAGCGTGGCCTTTAATATACAGAGTAGAGCCGCTATCACCTCGTCCCCTACAGTGTATTAAGTGTTGGTGTTATGGGAACAGAGTGAAGGGATGCAGGTCAGTACCTAGATGCAGAATTTGTGTTAAGACGCACAACTAAAACGACTGTATAAGTAATGAAGAAAAGTGCTGTCTTTGCCATGAAGCACACTGTGCTGATGACCCAAACTGCTCAGCCAAGGCACGTGAAATCTAAATCCTTGAAATTGTAGACAGAAGGCAATGCTCCCGAAAGGATGCCATTGCTGAAATCCAGGCCCGAACTCAAGGGTACGCAGGAGCAGCTGCCCGCCATAACATAGCAATGGAGCATCCTTTTCTCTATCAGTTGCAGACATGATCGAGAAGGCTGTGGATAAGGCTATGCAACGCCTTGCTACCACCCTATGGGAGTCACTGTCGCACGTTATAAACAACCAAATCGCACAAGTCTATGGAGCACAGATAGATATAAGTACGGCTGTAGAAAATGCTGAGTCTGCACACCCGACAAAGATGAGGCAGAATCTGGATAACTCCACCGGATGCACAGTCTGCAGAGCCCTCTGGAGAAGGCGTTCAGAGGCAAAGCGAGGGTGCACAGGAAGTTCTCAGGACACACAAGATATGGACATAGATCTCAAATGCCTAAAGCGTTCTAGATCCCCTGTATCGAAAAAACTTGGCTCGCCGAAACATGTAAAAAGCAAGAAATACCAGGAAGACAATTTTTCAAAAACGGATTTTCTAAAAGAAAGTATTTTAGATAAGGTAGTTGCCGAAACCATTTTAACGAATCATAGGGTTTCTTAAATTATACATTGGAAGGGCCGATCTCATCACTCAGCCATAACAGATCTGTTATACCTGTCTTCCAAATTCGATCCGGCTATATTGCATTACAAGAAACTTGGCTTTCCACACATCACTTATTTCACCTACAAACTTCCAAACCTTTCGTCTAGACCGTCCATCCAAAGGTGGAGGTTTAGCTTTCTTTATAAACAATAAAATTAAAAGTCAAAAATCATACAAATGTATGTCTTCTGAATGTGAAATTTTTGCGTTAGATATTACCTTGCCAGGA